CTCTTTAAGGCTGGCAGAGAATGAATTTGCATTTTTCAATAAGCCCTTCTGCTCTTTGTTTAGACCAAAGCCATAAACGGGGACCCTTATTTTTACGCAGAAAACACGCAGTTGTAAATGTGAACTGGTGGATCGACAAGAAGATAATGAATTATAAAACTGTAAAGATATAGCCTACACTAAGATATATTTGTTACTAAAATTAATATAATTGTTTGATAATAATTGTTTAAATTAATATAAAAATAATATAATATAATATAAAAATTGTTACTTTTGACTCCACCCCACCATACCCATATATATATATATATAGATAGATAGATAGATAGATAGATAGATATATACACACAGTGGTTGAAGTGGGCCGGTACGTACTTCTATATTTTAGCCTTTAGAGTACCTGCACTTTTTTGTGCGTACCGGCACTTCTGACATGTTGTCGGTACTCATAAGCGTCAGGGTCTGGGTGATTATATGATCCCTTATATGATTAGAAAGGACACTATATAAATCACACTACCCAGGCGGGATCACCTCTCATCTCGACCAATCACGTGAATGAATGCAAGCGGAGTCTGTGGGGCACGAGAGCATATCAAAGGAGGTGCGCAGAGTAGTAGAATAATAATTAATTATTGATTACTAATTTAAATCAGTACTTTATAACGAAAATAATATCTTAAAATTAAAAGAAGCAGGCTTTTGCGATCACATCATTTTAAACTGGTAAACTCCTGCAAAGTCCAAGGATCCAGTAAACGAATTCAAACAGTAAGTTCAACAGTAAGTTCAAAACAGCGCTAATGCAGAGAGAAAACAGCCAATTTCATCAGCGATTGCGGAGAGAATGGTGACTTTCGTCCAGACGTCAGTAAAATTATTCTTTTCAGCGTGTATTTGGCTTAAAAGCAAGAGTGTTTTATAATGAACGCTGATTATGCTGTGGTCAGAGATTTAGCGATTCTGAATTGATCCGTATAGTAGTAAAAGCAGGCGATTTAGTGGTCTTTGGCGTCTCCCTGTGGTCATGTTTGGTATCGCAGCTTGACTTGTGCTAATTTGTAAAGTACTTATTTATTTAATATAAATAAATAGATAAATGGGGGGGGGTGTACCAGCACTTCTTTTTTTCCACTTCAGACACTGTATACACACATAAATCAGTAAGATTTTTAAAAGAATACACTTTTATTCAGCAAGGATGCAAATTGATAAAACATGACAGTAAAGATATTTATAATATTACAACATTTTTATATTTCAAATAAATGCTGTTCTTTTAAATGTTCTGTCCATCAAAGAATCCTGAATCCTGCTCCGGGTGTGTGTTCACAGTGTGTGTGTGTGTGTGTGTGTGTGTGAATACCACGACCGAGGTGAGGTGAGACCCTTGAGCAAGGCACCAAACCACCAACTGCTCCCTGGGTGCCGCAGCAATATGGCTACCTACTGCTCCAGGTGTGAGTTCACGGTGTGTGTGTGTGTGTTCACTTGGATGGGTTAAATGCAGAGCACAAATTCCGAGTATGGGTCACCATACTTGGCCACACATCACTTCACTAATCACTAATTCACTAATAAAAATGGACCAGCATTTCCACAAAAATAAATAAAAAAAATAAAAAAGCAACACATCTTAACATTGCTAATATTATGAAATGCTTCTTGATCATCAAATCATCATATTAGAATCATTCTGAATTATCATTTGACACTGAAGACTGGAATAATGATGCTGAAAATTCAGCTTTGCCGTCACAGGAATAAATTACTGTAGAAAAGAGTTATTTTAATTGTGATAATATTTCATAATATTACTGTTTTTAATGTGTTTCTTTTGAAGACAGACAACTGTCGTTTCCAGAAAGTAGATAGATAATTAAAATTTTACCTCAGTGGGGGCGTTGCAAATCTAACTTTGGCCTGGATCAGGATTTAATTAAATGGATTCACCCGGTCGCCTTCAACAAAGACACAGATGATCACAGAACAGTGTTGAGAAATGGCACAGAAAGAAGTTTAATTCGTTTCCTCTATCAACTTTTACTACTTTTGTCAATCAAAAATCAAACAGACTTTCTGTCAAGTCCCAAACATACCAGAGTTAATGTCAGCTGTGACAGCCAACAAACAGTGCTTAATGCCATATTTCTGCATTAATTAGGAGCCCAATTAGCTAGTCTCATTTTAATTAGTTGGTGTACACCATTAAAATCATTACAGTTGTACGCTCTGTCAACAAGCCTGCATTGCATTAATGTTTTGCTCATTGTGAATACATGAATGGTTACAATTAATTTCCATGTTGTAATTATTGTCTAGGAAAAATATGCAGTAATATACACAATGCTTATTTATTAATTACACATTTTGTTACATGTGTTGTTATGGATATTATGCATGTTTTCACATATTTAATGGATAATGTAGTTTTGACTGGACAGCATCGTTCCATCTAAATCGACTCTTAAACCATCGAAAGTGTGCCTAAACGTTGATAATAACACAGTTTTTCTTGATCTTGGGACAATATTCAGAAACAGCACGTCATCCAGTGGAGGTTGCAGGCCACGCTGCAGTAGAATGACTGATGTATTTACTCTGTTGCTTTTTAATGCATAATACATTGTGGTTGTTTTTGCTTTGATTTATTTCTTAGGAATGTGATTAAGGCCTCTTACTCAGGGGAGCAATAAGGCCTGTGAACTGAATGCCAAACGTCTGATCTCATCTTCAGTCAAAGCAAACCCAATATCTAATTTTCCTGACTAATGTTCCCTATTGATTTTTCTTTGTCTCAGCCCGCTACCTCAGAGAGGAAGCTCCTGACACAGTAATGCATTTGTGGACCACAGAATTTCCTGTGTTCTTGAAATATTTCATAAGATTGAAATGCTGATTGCTTCTGAACGTGTAAACAAACATTTGAGGTTCACTGTCTTGGTGATGGTGGTAGGATACGTTATGACCATTGCTTTGAGTCAAGTCACATTAATCTTTTGTATGTTATAATTTGGGCTTTCGTGTGTACATAAACCATCAATTAAATACTGGAGAGGGAATGCAAAACCACGTACTGTGTGAATGAGCCTTATGACAGATTGACAGCTCAGTTTAAAAATGGATTGTTGGCCAATGACAGACTCATTTTTAATTATTATCTTTAATCTTTATTTAAGCAAATGTTGATACAATACAGTTCAAAAGTTTGGGGTCAGTAAGATTTAAAAAATAATAATAATAGTAATTCTTTTATTAAGCAAAGATGCATTAAATTGAACAAACAGTGACACTAAAGACTTTTACATAGATAGATAGATAGATAGATAGATAGAGATTAAATGTAACATTTATTTAATTTGATTATATGTGCATTTCAATTTGATTAAATAATCAGCATATATAATTAATTTGATTTTAAATCTAAAATTGATTGACAGCCCTAGTTATAAGCTCTATTTTATTGAAGACACTGTACTGTTTTTAAACTCTGCAATAATATGATGAAAATAACCACTGAATAAAGGGTCTAAATTTAAATTAACCTCATTGAATGACAAAAAAACCCAGGCAAAATAAAAAAACTGGGGTTGTTCATAGAAGATGATAAATAAAATATTTATAATCTTTTTCCATTAAATTCACGCTTACCTACTTTTCATATTTTGAACCCACTAAAGTAAGCCATCGTTCTCTCTTTCTCTTTCTCTTTCTCTCACTTTTTTCTGCAATATTTAGGCATGCCTAAGAAACCAGAGATCAATGGACTCACCAAGCCTGTGTTGGAGGGAGATCAAATCACACTGACCTGTGTGACCTCTGGCAGCAAACCTGCAGCTGATGTCCGATGGTTCAAGAATGAGAAGGAGATCAAAGGTGAGGAAAGTTGATGGAATACGATTGAACACACATTAACACTTATAAGACAAATCACAAAAAAAGTTTTACTGCATTTAAGTAAATATTTTAAGCTCAGTATGGAAGAAAGCTTAGGTTCAGTAAAATATGTAGGTAACTGCTCATGTAGCAACTTCTCCACAAATCCATCAGAATATAAAAAATGTCCCCTCTCAGTCAGATAGGGAGGGAGAGGATAAAAACATGCAATGACAGCATTGGAAGAATTCTCGAAGTAGAAATTTGCTCTGCCATGCGTACAATGCGGATGGCATTGAGTGCCTTTGTCGTGCGTTTGCTGCATTTCTAAAAATACAGCGGTTCTAATTAGCAACGAGGCGACGTTTCCCACGCTGACTGATTATTGTGTCTCCGGTGGACGGAACCTTGGGGACAGGCCTTTACAGTGAAACCCCAGAGGATGAAGCATGGCTCAACGCTTTTTATGTCTTTGCAATGACTTTGTTTTGCAGGGAATAGCTTTTTTATTTGTACATTGCTGTATTTTGTATTAAACAGCTATAAACTGTATTTAACCATATATTTAATGTATTTTAATAATAACTTAGGGCAAGAACTACTCTCTTTAGAACAACTCTAAAAGGTGCTTACACAGAACACGTTTTTGTATTACACTGCCCTGCTTTTCCATTCTTTTTCTATGCACTATTTTTTTCCCCCTAGTGTATTTCTGTTTTATTTACTCACCCTATTGAATATTGTACTGGTTGCACTTTTCTGTGCGATTACAGTACAATAAATGCGGTCCAGAGCTTTCGAGCTTCAAAAAGGATGTAAAATCCATATAATAATATTCTAGATCATATGATAGATTTGTGTGATGGACAGATTGAAATTTTAAGTAAATATTCACAGATCATTTTTCCCTCCAGTGAGCTGTTAACTTCGGAGACCAAATCATGACCAATTTTGTGATCCAGATCAACCAATTAATCTGACTCACAGGAATCATGGATCGTTCATGAATCAGACATCGTTACTTCTCTCAAGAAAAGCCTTTGAATATAGTACACATATTTAACAACCATACTTCATGGTTGTTTTTTTTATTATTTTGGAGCTTGATAGTCCAAGTTCTCATTCACTTGAAAATTGGCCAGACTATTCTTTTAAAAATTCACCTTTTGTGCTCCACAGAAGAAAATAAAGTCCTACGGGTTTGGAACAAAATTAAGAAATGTTCATTTTTTGGGGTGAATTATTCCTTTCATCTACAACCAAGAAAGAAAGAAATAAGAGTACCTAAAGCCTGAGCAGGAAGGTTTAGCCTCTTATCAGTGTCTAGTCAAGGGTTCTTATAATTTTGACTTCGAATGGGGATCCTGATTAGGCTCCTTATCAGATATTACGTCTGCGATCAGTCCCTCTGGTCATTTGATAAACAGACAGAATTTGTGGGCAGGGGAGGATTTTCAGAGCTTATGTCATTTCATTAAGGGATCAGTGATGTTTCAGATGAGAACGGCAGAAAAGTAAGCTGCTTTGTTTAAGATTCCTTTAAGAAACTGATACCTGATCTCCTTACATGTGACTTAGGCTCGCTGTAGTCACAGATAAATGATACAATCTTCGTATTCGTTAACAATCTTGGTGTTTAGGTTAGGTTGGATGTATTCTTTAATTAACAGTGATTATTTAAGGCAACAAAACAACAGATTTGTATACAAGAAGACATGCATTTAACCTTGATAGATGTGAAATTTTGAACACAACTGCATTAGTGTTCATTTCTTCACACTACTTGTCAAAATTCTGTTGTTTTCTTTTAATTAACTATGCATGTATTTGATTAATTCAGATAAATTTTTCTCCAGCCATGAGGTCAGAGATTAATATGATCATTAACTCTGAAATGTTCGCTCCCTCTCTGACTCCGAGACCCCTTGTTTTGTAATACAGGTGCAAATTATTATATGCGAGTCTGTGACAAAGATGCATTTCATCCCTCAAAAATGCAAGAACGGCATTACCTAATGCGAATTTTTGTGAGCAGGTGGTTTGAACGCGAAAGTAGCATGTCGTAAATATATTTAGATGCCACATGTAGCTTGTAGTGTGAACTCAGGAAAGGATTTGCTAAGGTCTTTATGACTCCCGTCAGCCCACAGTCTCATGAAGCATGAAGTTTAAGGGCTCTCAGCTGATTACAAAGTGTCAGTCTTAGATATTTTCATCATGAATGTGTCTTGTGATGGATGGATCCAATAAGACAAGAGCACATTTCAAGGATGCATGAAAAAGAGTGGACCCCAGAGGGATGAAACGCACATATATATAAACTCACAGGATGTTTATCATATAATTAGAACTTTCAATCAATTATTATTGTTGTTTTATTTATAATATATTTTATTTATATATCTATCTATCTTTTTCTTTTTTTTGTCACTGGCCCATGTTTAACAAAATGACAACATATTAAAGCCCTACATTTATTAAAATACTGAAGACAAAAAAAAAAATCAACAGTGAGAGATTCGGTAATGTGAGTCACTTTAGCTCTGTTTATTTTGTCGGGTTGTCTTAGTTTCTTTGTCTTGATTTCATGGCAGAGAGGTGCAAGTAAACAAAAGGATATTGCTTTTCGGCTCTGCTCACTCCAATTGGTCGGCCTGTTGTTTTCCTGTAGAGCTTCTCTCTGTCTGCTTTTGTGTTTGCTGCCTTCCTGTAGCTGTGTTTGTGAGTCGCAGCAGCTGTTGTCATCGCTGTTTCCAGCACTTCTCCACCGCTGTGTGAGGCTGAACTGCGATAAACGCATTTATTTTGGAAGCCTGGACTGGGAATAGCAGTTGCATTATTGTGGGATCTCTGGGACTGTAGCAACGCTCAGCACGGTATTAAATTTGTGCCGATCTCCAGGATGCAAGACATCTCACACTTTCTCCCCCCGAGTATGCAGAGCCCAAGACGCGTGTGTATGTGTGTGTGAAATTGACAGCTGTAATGGAATCCAATATCAACACCTCTCACATTCTCACAAGCCGCTCTCTCTCTCTCTCACACTCTCTCACTCACTCTCTTTCTATTTCTGGCTCCTTATTTTCATCATTGGAGTAAAGTTGTGCATCTGTTTATTGCATGTTAAGCTAACCTGTAAATATTACATAGGCCGCATCTTGGCAGCCACCTCTTCTGCAGCCCATGTAGTGTGTGCACATACAGTGGGTCCAAAATTGTGAGTAAAAATCCTTCAGGTTTGCATTTTTCTAATCTAAATTTTGAACTGCAAATTATATCATCAGCTTAACAAGTGAAAAGTGAAAGGTAAATTGAAAAATTACATTTTAGAATGGCTTAGTATTTGGTTTTGTCCTTCTTTTACTTTAGTGAATTCCTAAATTCTAAATATTTCTTGTTCATTTTATTTTATATTGCTTATTTTTATATATACACTACCATTCAAAAGATTGGGATGTTTTTTTTTTTTTTAAGAAATTAACTTCTATTAGATCAATGACAGTGAATACTTTAATATATTTTCAACACATTTCAAATAAATGCTGTTCTTTTGAACTTGAATCTCATCAAAGAATCCTGAAAAAAAGTATCACGGTTTCACTGATAATAGCGAGAAATGTTCCATGAACACAAAATCGGCATAATAAAATGATTTCTGATGGATCATGAGACCTTGAAGCCTGGAGTAAATTCAGCTTTGCCATCATAGGAATATATTACATCTGAAACTATATTAAAATAGAAAACAGATATTTAAAATTGTAATAATATTTCACAATATTACTCTTTTTACTGGCTGACAAACATTCTAAGATTTATTTTTTTCAGGGAAACACAGCTAAAGTAGTTACAGGCAGCTTTTGACCGCAATACATGTCCATATCACTTCACCAAATGATTTCAGGTATTTCAAAGGTCCTTACACAAGGCCACAAGCCACAAGGCTCAATTTTGGCCCCCACTTTATTTTCGTTGTATATGCTACCTCTGGGCTCCATTTTTAGAAAACACGGGGTGTCGTTTCATTTTTATGCCGACGACACGCAAATCTATCTACCTTTTAGGAAGAATGACCCATTGGCGATGACTGCTCTTTCATGTTGCTTAGACGAGGTTAAATCCTGGCTCTCTCAAAAATTTTTATCTTTAAATGAAGAAAAAACTGAGGTGATCATTTTCGGTCCATCAGAAAATATGAAAGCCCTAAATCTTGACCTAGGACCTTTATCGGCTTTTAGGTCTTCACAGGTACGGAATCTGGGTCTTCTTTTAGATGACTCGCTAAAATTCGATAAGCAAATTTCTACTGTGATTGGGTCCAGTTTTCATCAACTCCGTACACTAGCAAAAATTAAACACTTTCTCACTGACAAGACTTTGGAGATGGCGGTTCATGCTTTTATTACATCGCGTCTCGATTATTGTAACTCTTTATACTGTGGCATATCTAAAACTCAAATTGCCCGTCTTCAAGTGGTCCAAAACGCTGCCTCTAGATTCCTTTTAAAAAAGAAAAAAAGGGATCATGTCACTCCGCTCTTGAAGGCCCTTCATTGGTTGCCTGTTCAATTTAGGATACGTGTGTGAAATTGACAGCTGTAATGGAATCCAATATCAACACCTCTCACATTCTCACAAGCCGCTCTCTCTCTCTCACACTCTCTCACTCACTCTCTTTCTATTTCTGGCTCCTTATTTTCATCATTGGAGTAAAGTTGTGCATCTGTTTATTGCATGTTAAGCTAACCTGTAAATATTACATAGGCCGCATCTTGGCAGCCACCTCTTCTGCAGCCCATGTAGTGTGTGCACATACAGTGGGTCCAAAATTGTGAGTAAAAATCCTTCAGGTTTGCATTTTTCTAATCTAAATTTTGAACTGCAAATTATATCATCAGCTTAACAAGTGAAAAGTGAAAGGTAAATTGAAAAATTACATTTTAGAATGGCTTAGTATTTGGTTTTGTCCTTCTTTTACTTTAGTGAATTCCTAAATTCTA